AGAGCCATTTTTGTGAAGCTTGTGTTGTGTTCTTGAGCGTTCTTAGTTTACTCATTATTCACTCTTAAAGAGAGTATTGTTCTTGAGTGTTTTTAGTGTTCTTAGACACTTGACAAGAGAAAGTATTTCTCTTGTTGCTCGAAGGAAGGGCTGTTTCCTTCGAAGGTTCGTTGAGGTTCGTGTGACTCGAATTCTCAAGTTGTACGGGTTTGTTAAGCACCGTTAAGCTTAACGAGATAGTAGTGTAGCTCGAGAGAGTCTCTCGGGAGGCTGGATTAGCCACAAGTTGTGGTGAACCAGGGTAAAATCGGTGTGCCTCTTACTCTTCTCTTTACTTCTCATTTATTCATTTTTTATTCCTGCGATTTTTGATCAAACACTATTCACCCCCCTTCTAGCGTTGGTCTATTATTCTAACAAAACTTTCCTTGTTTGGAAGTCAACAGCCAAAACAGCGATGTAGGGATTTTAGACATCGCTGTTGGCATGATCGTTGCTTCCCATTTTTCAAACCGCAAGCCTAGAACAGCGATGTCCAGGCCTAGGACAGCGCTGTCTGGGTGATTTTCAACAGATCCAAATTTCATCAAATCCCACAAATTATGCCAATCACCCCTTAAATACTTTGGTCTGTTTGAGCCTATTTTTCTACTATAAAATGAGGTGTTTGGGTCTGCTTTACACATCAATTCACTTCACATTATTCATATTATCATTGCATTCAAACAACATCATTTTCCATAGCTTTCTAGAGCCAATTTGTGTGAAGTTTGAGTTGTTCTTGAGAGTACTTAGTTTACTCATCATCTACTCTTAAAGAGAGTCTTGCTCTTGAGTGCTTAGTGCTGTATACACATTAAGGGAAGCTTGTTTCCCTTGGTTGTACGAAGGAAAGGTATTTTCCTTCGGGTTGAAGTCTTGGAGTGTGGTATCTCCGAGCAAGTGTTGTTGAGGCTCGTGGGACTCGAGTTCTCAGGTTTTAACGGTTTGTTAAGCACCCGTAAGCTTAACGGAAGTAGTGTAGCTCGAGAGAGTCTCTCGAGAGACTGGATTAGCCACACGTTGTGGTGAACCAGTATAAATCTTGGTGTGCTCCCTTTACTCCTTTTTATTCCGCTCTTTACTTTATCCCTACGATTTTTATTCCGCGAAAATTTATAAACATTCTCGTGCCTCACTATTCATCCCCCCTCTAGTGAAGGGCACTTATTCTAACAACATTGGGACGGGTATCTCACGACTATGCACAAATGACGATGGAGTTCTCTTGGAAGGGCGAGACCATTATTTTGCGGGGGGATGTCCAGCAACCGAAGCCAATTTCCTACAATCATTTATGCACTTTGGTCGCCCACAATTCCGGCTGGGGGATGTATAAACTGTTATCTACGCCACCCGATGAGTCCTTGTCCACCACCGCCCCGCTTCAAATCCCGGCGGATGTTCCTGCCCCGATCCAACAAGTTCTCACAGACCACTCCTCCGTTTTTGAGATGCCCACGGGTCTCCCTCCTTCTCGCTATTGGGACCACCGGATTTACTTGGAACCTGGAGCGAAACCTGTGAATGTGCGCCCATACAAATACCCGTATTTCCAGAAGGCCGAAATTGAAAAACAGGTTCGAGGGATGTTGCAACAAGGCCTAATTCGGCCTAGTCACAGCGCCTTCTCCTCTCCCGTGCTTTTGGTTCGAAAGAAGGATGGCACATTTCGGTTTTGCGTCGACTACAGGGCACTCAACGTCGCAACAACACCCGACCACTTTCCGATTCCGACGACAGATGAACTTTTTGATGAGCTTGGTCAGGCCCGCATTTTTTCTAAACTGGACTTGCGTTCGGGGTACCACCAGATCCGGATGCACGAGGCAGACATCTTCAAAACGGCATTCCGGACCCACGACGGTCATTATGAATTTTTGGTCATGCCGTTTGGGCTAACCAACGCCCCTTTAACGTTTCAGGCCGCCATGAACAATGTCTTCCGTTCTCACCTCCGTCAGTTCGTGATCGTATTTTTTGACGACATACTCGTCTATAGCCCGGATTTGGATACCCATGTCGTTCATCTCCAACAGGTCCTGGCTATTCTCCACGACAATCGCTTCTTCGTCAAGCTCAGCAAATGTTCTTTTTGTAAAACGACGATTGAGTATTTGGGGCATCTGATTAGTGCGGGGGTTCTCAAACCGGATCCTACCAAAATTGAGGCGATGGTTGCATGGCCTGTCCCGTCCACAATCCGCCAACTTCGGGGTTTTTTGGGCCTCACGGGGTACTATCGACGTTTTATTGCGGGTTATGCACTTCTAGCCACCCCCCTGACAGACTTACTCAAGAAGGATAGCTTCAATTGGACACCCACGGCGGAGGACAGTTTCAATCAGCTCAAGCACGCAATGACTACTGCAGCCGTGCTACGCCTTCCGGATTTTGAACAAACTTTCTATTTAGAAACAGATGCTTCCGACGTCGGCATCGGGGCCGTGCTTATTCAACAGGGCCATCCATTGGCATTCTTTAGCAAGAAGCTGGGGCCTAGGCGACGGGTTGCTTCGACATATCATAAGGAACTGTATGCAATCGTGGAGGCCGTACAGAAATGGAGACAGTATTTGTTGGGCCGGGAGTTCGTCATACGGAGCGACCAGCGGAGTCTCCGCGAATTACTTTCTCAAATAATCCAAACCCCGAACCAACAATTTTACGTCCGGAAGTTGATGGGTTATAAATTCCGGATAGAATATAAACCCGGGTCCATGAACCGGGCAGCCGATGCTTTATCTCGTAGGGAAGCAGACGACCCGGCGGTGCTATTGATGACCTACGCCCAGCCTCTGCCACTGGTCATGAATCAGATTCGGGAAGAAAACACTACACTAGCCGATTTGCAGCAGCTACATTCCGCCGTCCAGTCTGGTGCAGCTTCCCCGAACATCTCCGTCCATGATGGTCTTCTTTATTACAAACACCGCATCTATATTAGCGCGACCTCCCCATCGCGAACGCCGATTTTGGAGGAATTTCACAGCACACTGCTGGGCGGGCACTAGGGCGTGGAGCGCACATTTCGGCGTGTGGCAGGGGTGTTCTACTGGCCTAATATGCGCAGGGACGTCCGCACCTTTGTCGCCTCCTGTACGGTGTGTCAAGCTACGAAGTACTCCACCCAGAAACCCGGGGGGCTGCTCCAACCACTTCCAGTACCCGAACGCGTGTGGGAAGCGGCGTCAATGGACTTCATCACAGGACTGCCACCTTCCCGCGGCTTCTCTGTCATCTTGGTCGTGGTAGATCGGTTGACCAAATACACCCATTTTGGGGCTATGGCATCCGGGTTTGATGCCCCTCGTGTGGCGCACACTTTCGTAGACATCGTGGTCAAGCATCACGGGTTCCCCAAAAGCATTGTATCCGACAGGGACCCCATCTTCATGAGCTTATTTTGGAAGGAACTGATGAAGCTAAGCGGGACTTCGTTGAAATATAGCACGTCATATCACCCCCAAACAGATGGGCAGACCGAGGTCATGAACCGAGTCCTAGAACAATATTTGCGGGCATTCGCCCACGAACGCCCTACACGTTGGTCGGCGCTGCTTCCTTGGGCCGAACTGTCTCTCAATTGCAGCTTCAACAGCAGCATCAACATGGCTCCGTTTCGTGCGTTATACGGGCGCGAACCCCCGGCGTTGTTTCCAACACTCTCCGTTCAATCTCGGGTGCCGGCTATTGAGGAGTTACTTACGGAACGGGCTGATCTCTTACGGGATTTGCGGGATCACTTGCACAAAATGCAACAACGTATGCGTGACCAAGCAAATAGCCATCGTCGGGATGTCACCTTCAACGTCGGGGACTGGGTCTTACTCCGGCTACAGCCGTACCGCCAGCACTCGGTGGCCAGGCCGCTGTCTGCCAAGTTGGCACGCCGGTATTACGGCCCGTTTGAAGTCTTGGAACGTATTGGAGCCGTAGCATATCGCTTGCGCCTCCCTGCCGAGTGCCGCATTCATGACGTTTTCCACGTCTCACTGCTTCGGCCCTTCGTGCGCCGTGGGACAGAGACACCACCCATGGCACTGCCGACTGAATTTTTGAAAGGCTGACCCGTCTCGGTTCCGGTGGCCGCAGAACAACAACGCACGGTTTTGGTGGAGGGTCAACCCCAGGAGCAATGGTTAGTCCGGTGGTCGGATGGTACATCGGCGGACATGACATGGGAACCGGTGCAGGAGCTGCAACGCCGCTTCCCAACTCTTCGCCTTGAGGACAAGGCCGACTCCGACCGCGGGGGAGTTGATACGAGTGAACAAGAGGACGGACCGATGGATCAGGATAACACGCGGGTAACAACGGCGTCAGTTCGACCACGGAGGAAGGTGGTACCTCCCCGAAGATATCAAGATTATGTTTAGCATTTATAACTATTTTATCAATACTTATTTTCTCCCTATTTTAATGTACTCTAGATTTTATTAGGTGAGCGGAAATATAAGCTCCTTCAAGGGTTTTCTTTTCGGTTCTTTCCCTTGACACTTTTCTTGAACCGACAGGTCGAGGCTCCTTATCGCTATAAATATTAAGGGGATCTCATTAGAAATTAAAAAGAATAAGCCTTTACTCAATTAATTTTTTATTTTTCCTCTCCCTTCCTTCTTCGTACCATCTATGCCAAAGTACACCCTAGGCAGTTAGGGTTTCGGCCACAACCCTAGCGGCCCTCTGCCGGAAACCACCATATCACTCTTCTAATTTTTTTGTATAAATCTGTACTCCTCCATGGCTACATCCTTAACTAATTGTGTAGTTGACTTGTTTGATACATTAAAAAATTACCCCGGAGCATTAATTTTGGCACAATCACATTTAATTTTATTTTGTAATCTATCAGAACAATCAACTAGACAATTAATTCAGCATAAAGAGTATCATATAATTTTATTATTTTATTTTAAATTATGTAGAAAATAAAGTAAACAAGGATTTAATATGTTACGAGTATTTTGCACAGTTTGTTTGAAGCCTAATTTTAAAACTTAGAGGAGTCGAAGCTACTAAACTACGGAGTACTTAACTAGGCAAATAAAGAGAAGTTGGTGTTAGAGTAATACTTAGAACTTGTTCTTTAGGACTGGAAAAAAAGAGCTGGATGTTGGAAAAAACTAGAAAAAAATGAAAGATATTGGAAGGAACTGGAAGAAACTAGAAGAATCTAGAAGAATTGGAAGAAACTAGAAAAACTGGAAGAAATTGGAAAAAAACTGGAAGAAACTGGAAAAAACTGGAAAAGCTTCAAAAAATTGGAAAACCTAAAAAAACTTTAAAAAAATTTATTTTAAACTCTTGTTGTTATAAATTATTATTATTATATTATTATTATTATTATTATCATCATCATCATCATCATCATCAAGTTATCTTAATGAATGTCTTTAAGATATAAAAAAAGTATTGTTATTTTTCAAATACAAAAAACTACTTTTGCAAAAAAATAATTATAATATAAAGTTAGCATAAATATAAAAATATTAAATTTTAAAAAGTTTTTGTGGTTACGTTGCACCTCAAAATATTTATGCAACATTTATTATAAATAATATATTTATAATTATACTTTATATATTACAAGATTTTGTTTTAAATATCAAACATGTCACATAATGTAATCAAACCTACTTTTTCTTTCATGATTGATACTTTATTTTCATTGAAGCCCTATTTTAAGAATAAAGACATAGAACTTTTTTTTTTACATTTCTTATGTTTTACTCCTATTTTAGTCTTTTTTCTCTAAATTATTTTGACTTTCAATTTTTTTAAAAAAAATTAGAAAAATGAGAAAAAAATTTAAGTACTAAAGGGAAAGATAAGAGGTCTTATATAAAGTTAGATTAATAAAACATTCTATGTCATTTTTTTTACATAATTTTTTAATATAGTTAAACATATTGATATTTTCCTGTTTTATCATGTAGATTAATACTCCCTCTGTCCCAGTATATTTGTCCAGTTTGACTTTTTCGAGTCAAACTGGACAAACTTTGATCTTCAATTTAATAAAAACCGTAATGTATTTTAACATAAAAATAACTTTATTGGATTTATTATCGCATTGAGAACTTTCAAAATTGTATTTCATTATGCTAATATGCAATATAAATTGAGAGTAATTGGAGTTCAAAGTTTGTCCAGTTTGACTCGAAAAAGTCAAAGTGGACAAATACACTGGGACGGAGGTAGTATACAAAAAAATTGTCTTATTCATATCTAAAAGTTGAAGAAAAAAATATGAGTGTGAATCGTAAAAATAGTGAGATGAAAAAATAATTTATAAAATAGTTATGAACATAATAGTTGTAATAATAATAATCACACTAAAAATATATTATTTTTAGAGTAATTGGTTGGGAGTAGAAAGAATTTGAAGAAATTGTGAATAATTGGAAGAAACTGGAAGGAACTGAAAAAAACTAGAAGAAACTAGAAGAACTGGGAGAAACTGGAAGGAACTGGAAGAAACTGGAAATTAAGAGTTCAAGCTCTAAAGAAAAAACTCTTAATAGGGAATAACATGTTAGAAGAATGTCAAGCTGTTATTAATATAACTAAATGAAGTTCAGCAATCAGCATATATGCATAAACTCTGTCTCCAATGAAAAAAAACATGAACTTCATTCTCGAGTTGCACTTCGAAACCGACCAGACGATTATCTTAGAAGAAGTAATTTAAACTGTAATTACAAGGAATCGAACTCGTGTTAATCCCCGTACACCCTCCTTCGTAAAACGTTCTTCCCATTTCTGTTTATGAGGTTTGTTCGACTTTATTTTCAATTCAATTTATTTGATTGTACATGTAAAATTTAAAAATAAAATTTATATATTTAAAAACTACATCAAAAGTTCTACAAAACAAGTGGTGACAGGACTATATTATTTTATCAAATAACTAACGAAAATAGGTGAAAAAACGATTAAAATTTGACCATGTGAATAATAATTGCGAAGAACATTTTAGGATGCAAGAAGTACTATTTTGCTGACTGTACAACACACATTTTTTTCTTAAAAAAGGGGTGACAATGCAAGTTTGGAATCAATAAATATAGGGCCATTATGGAACCAACACGTGTCTGTCTGCTGGCTGTCTACAAGCATAGCATGTTCCACCTCTTTAGTTTCATCTTTTTAAAAAAGAAGGAATTTAGGTGACTCAAGATTATCCCAATTTTGAACACCATATTCTTTTGTTCTTGTAAACCTAAAACATATTATAATTGGAAACAAAAAAATACTTTTTCCGTCGAATTTAATATTTTCATTTAGCATTTTTCTAATCTAAATTTGTAAACTTTGACATCGATTAACGGAAAAAATGCATTATATTTCGATACAATTTAATATCAATAGTTTATTTTTGAAACATATTTTTGAAATATGAAATTTTTATAGAATACGGCTATGTATGAATATCGATATTAATGGTCAAAATGTTAAATTGAATCTTTACATATTTTTATAGATCTTTTGATGTAGTTTTTTAATATATAATTTGTATTTTTTAATTTTATATTTATAATCAAACAAATTGAATTAAAAATAAAGTTAGTCAAGCATTGTAACGCAGACGGGAAAGATTAAAATTGAGCAGAGAGAGTATTTACAAGTAAATTGTTTTGTCCTTCCACATGCCATATACATCTATATATACAATATGATACTCTCCATCCCTCATTAATTTAACTTTTTCAATTAGTTTTTCAGTATATAATTAGGACCAAAACATGCTACACTTATTTATTTTTTTATATCAAAATTGAATTTGTAATTTCAAAATTAAATAATGCTAATATATAATGCATAATACAAAAAAATACAGTGAAATGCCGACATATAATATATACATACTATGAAATACCAACATATTTATATAAATATTTAAATTTGGAAAATAAAAAATGGCAATTAATTGTTTTATTAAATACTCCGTAAAACATTGCTCGAGCTGAGTGAATCCGTGGGAACTATTGGGATGAAGATCGGAGTCATGTCATGTTGAGTTTATATACAGAGTAATTGTCTGCTAATGTTGACAAAGTTTGATAGAAATTAAATTTTAATTTAATTTATTTGAATATTTTTTAGAAATTAAAAATTAAAATTTTTGTGCTAAAAAGTACATTGAAAACTGTACAAAATATGAGGTCACAAAGATTTATTGTTTTATCGAATGAATAGCAAAAATGAATAAAAAATGAGGTTAGAATTCGAACTTATGAATAATAAATATACAACTTAAATTAAGATGGAGAGAGTATTTGACTCCACATATGACAACATACATTTTATGAAACTATCATATTTTATATTTTGAAAAATGATAATAATGTTCTTTTGACTTTAAAAAAATGACTTGTGAATGACTAGACATTTTGTTCTCCAAAGGTGAAATCGCTCACCCCGGGCGCCCCTCACCCCCGACCCGACGGGATTGTGAGAGGAATGACTAGACATTTTGTGGCTACATAGGAGCATGAGAGAGGGGGGCTTAGGTGAGAGGTTTAAGAGGAGATTAAGGGAACATGAATCATTAGTTTTACTAGCGGCGTATTGTAGGTATCTGGGTAATTCTTGGATCATTTTTATCTAAGATCAAAAGAATCGTGATGTTTGAAATATATTGGATCATTTGAGCAATTTTCGTCCGGCACAATGACATTGTCTAGGTTGCGATTAATAGCTTAGATTGTTTAAGCTAAGCGATTTGGAAAGTCACCTAGCGGGGAAGATCTAGAGATTTGGAAAAAAGTGCAACGAGGATGTTGCATTTTTAAGTGGTGGTGAATGTAATACTTCGTGTTAAAATGAAAATTAGAAGAGTCTAAATGATTGACTCTGCTACGATACTCATACCAGATCTTTTTTTCAAGAACTCATCGCTCTAAAGTTAGACTTCGAGAAAGTTTAGAGTAGGTAATCCTTGAAAAGTTCATTGGACACGAATGAGTGAGGACAAAGTGTGTGATAAAGACTTGCGTTGACTTATGGGACCAGCCTACAATCATATGGACGGACACGTGCGGTCAATTTAGGGATCAAAGTGTTACACTCTCTAACCAAGCTCCTTTGCGACATAAGTCATTCATCTCTGATCTCCCTATTTTCCTCAATTAGTGATGCTCAATTACATTAACTGTTGGGAAAATCACCTCAATTTTCTAGCGGAAGCAATTAATAATTTTTTCGTCTTTGTATTGTCAAAATGGACAAAATCATATGACCAATCAAGAATAGCAAACACAACAACAAGCAATCAATCAAACGATAAACAAACACCAAGATTTAACGTGGAAACCCAAAATCGGGGAGAAAACCACGAAGCCTTCCACTAATTACCAAGAAAAATCAGTAGGTACAACCAAGAATCCTCTCTAAATCATTTAGAGGTACACACAATCATCAAACAACAACTTGGAACACCAAACAACAATAATCTTCACTCAAAAGTGAGAAATTCTCAATAAAAACGCAACAGCAAATAGAGGAATTTATACCGACATCGAGAGGTCAAAACAATAATCCCACCGTTGGATATAAAGAAGAGGATGTCAGGAACAACATATTATAATTTCATCCGGATCGGAGCTCGTTTGGTCGTCGATCGGAGCACAAAACCAGGCTGCACCTCTCTTTTTCTCTCTTCTTCTTTCTCTGGGCTCTCTCTCTTTTCTCTCTGTTTTTCCGCTGTGCGGCTGCTCCTATTCTGCCCGTGTGAAGTAGCCAAAAGGCTTTTTCCTTTTCAATAGGGCATCCCCACTTTGACCATTCCCTTTCTCTTTTTTTTTTCTTTCTTATAATAATAATACTCCCTCCGTTTTCAAAAATACTTCTTCTTTCATTTTTTTCACTTCCAACAAAACACTTCCTCTTTCTATTAAAAAACCACTTTTACCCTTACTTTTTCATATCCTACCTATCACATCATACTTTATCTCTAATAATCTATCCATCACATCTTACTTTTACCTATCACATCAAGGGCAAAATTGGAAGTCAACTACAATTTAATACTTCCTTATTTTTACACAAAATCAAAAGAGAAACACTTTTTCCAAACGGAGAGAGTAATAAATAAATATTATTATTATTATAGTAATCCACCTCTAAACTAATTACATTTTTAACATCAAATGTATAATTTAGGAACTCCTTCCTCCATGTAGGAGGGATACCCTAACAAATCTCTCCCTCACTCCTACATGGGGGTAAAACTCAATGATGATAAATATCGAACAAACCTTTCACAACCAACTGTGCCAAGTCCGTAGGTTGTGAGCAACACTCTCTTCTCTTCAACTTGAAGACCCGATTGCTCTTGGGTGCTCGCTTGCTTCCATGCAACACTTCGAACGACGTGCAAAACTATCTCTTTTTAAATTACTTTAATTTCAAATTGGTAGAGCATTAAAAAGTAAAAATTACACCACTTAAAAATATATAAAAAGCTCTACAAAACAAAATGTGACAAGAATATTTTATTTTATCAAATGGTTAACCAAAACGAGTAAACAAACAAAAGTTATCGAGAGGCCAGAATAGTAAACGTGGCATTCTTTCTGGGACGGAGGGAGTATAATTTAACATTTCCTTATTTTTGTCCCCAAATCAAAATGGGAAGTCTTTTTACAAACGGATGGAGAAAGATTTTACACGTTGATCGAAGAATGTAACTTAGTTATGAACGGTCAGAACGGAGGGAGTATTATTTTTATTGTAATTAAAATTATATACTCCGTAGGTATTATTACAAATGACTAATTAATTACAGCATAAATATGTACGTGGAAACTCGGTTACATAGACTTCAGATCTGAAAGTACCGGACACTGTAGAAAAGAGGAGGAAAGATTTACGGTACTCCGTTAAAAGCAGTTCGTTTGTAACGCCGTTTGTTTGGGGTGTTTGTTATCCAGCCCTAATGTTAGAGCCACCTCCGTATCTAACCGCCATGCAAACCCTCCGCCGTCCATTCTCCACACATCGCACCACAGAACCCTACACTTGCCGCCGCACGTGACCACCCTCACCCTGCACGTGAACGCCGCCGCCGTGATCGGCGGCACCTCCACGCCCTCCCCCACCACCACCGCCCCCCCGCCGCTGTGCCCCACCATCTCCCGGTAAGCCGCGTTGGCCCACGTCACTCTGTTGAGACCGTCCGATAAGAACCCCGGACACGTGTCGCGCGCCAGATTCATCACCCGCTCCTTGTCCGTACGCCCCAAAGCCCAACCG